TGATTTACAGTAATAAATTAAGCAAATAAACTATGTAATTTACTCAGTTTACTCAATTTCTCATCATGGTGATGTATGTGCCTATGGTCTGTTCACAAGAGACAAATTTTGGCTCATAACTTCTCTGGTAACACGCACGGGTGAACACGCACACAAACATGGACAGCTCAGTGACTTTCTTAACAAAGCTCTGGTACCGCTATACTACAGAGGATGACATCCACCTCTTTGAAGAGGACTTCAACCTGGAGGCTCTGCTCTGTCCCACACCAACAGGGAGCAGTCAAGAGCCACAGGAGACCCACCTGGTGTCTCACAACATCCAGGACTCCTCAAACCGTGAACAAAGGAGTCTGAACCAGGAACTTACACCCCTGGAGGACAGTGCCCTGGCTTCATGAAGAGTTGGAGCAGACAAGGGCTCCGCTTGCAGATCAGATCCAAATAAACAGTTCTTTGGGCCGCAAGCATAGAAAATAGAAAAGGACTTGGAGTCCTGGAGCAAACAAGAGCTGCAAACACAAGTAAAGCCCCTGAGAAGCCGAAAGAAAAATTTGAAGCACCTATAATGGCCACTCAAACCACTTGCATTGATGTTGGTAGAGATCTAACAAAAAAAAAGAAACCAGGAAGGTGAAGGAGCTGCCCTCTAAGCTCTTCTTAGCACAAGAGGAGCTGCATCTCCTGAAGTTTATGGGTCACAGAGATCCAGCAGCCCAAAAGGAGTGGCCGTAGACCACCTCCAACCATCACCCTTTACACTTGCATTAATAGAATGTTAACAAAATGGTTTTAAATGTGTGCATTGACCTTTCATTTAGTACTTATTCATGTTTTATTTTTTTTTCACATTGTTAAATTCACATGCCAGCTACACAGTACTGTGGTTACTTAATTTTTAAGCAGAAATGTAGCAACATAGCAATGTTTCATACTATTCTTGTTGAAATTTATTTTCCTTACAAAATACAATATTATATAATATAAAATAATATTGGTCCCCACTTAAGTGCTAATAAGTATCTATTACCCTATTAACACTTTTTTTTTTAGCCAAGTCAAGCCAATTTCTTTATGCAGCACATTTAAAACAACAGACATTGAATCAGAGTTGCACCAAAGTGCAGCCTGACCTAAAATATCATACCTAAATCTCAATTCATTTGCAGAATAATTCACTGCTACACATTGTTTCTTTGTGCTTTCACTGCTTTAAAGGTGCATTGTGCAACATTTCTAGTGGAGGGTCCGTCGCCATTAAAATGTTAATGCTTTGTCAAGAATGTTTCACACTATAGCTAAATAGGTTACAACAATACAAACACCCGCAATAAATAATTCTAGATGTATATGTTTACTGTCATACTGGGGAACATTCCAGGCATGGCAATAACATCTCCATGGAGACAAGCAGATGACGGTACCCTCCACCAGATCACAAATGTTACCTGCGAGGTTTGCGGATGTCCCACAGACCCACTCCCTCCTTGGAGTTAGCTGTAGCCAAAAGTCGAGGCTCCACTGGGTTAAACATGACGCTGTGAAATGCAGAGGGGTAACTGGCCAGGCAAAATGGCTCTGAAAAGAAAAGAGTGAAAAATTATTATGACACAAGGGAAGAAATAAGCACACTTAGTTAGAATATTTATTTCAAACCTGCACATATAATTCACATACATACAACAGCATAAGAGCACACAGTAAAAGTATCAAGAATGGTTAAAGGGCCTATGTTATGCTATTTTTTATCTATAGTATAGCATTGTTTCCTCATCACAAACATACACATGGAGTTGTGTTTTGTTTCACTTCACTAGAATCATCTGGATAATTTCTGTCCTGGAACTGCCAATCTCTACTAAAGGTAAAAGGGAGCTGTTACTCAAAAATATGTGAATGAAAGAAATCACAACTGCAAGTATGTTCTTGATTAGTTTACAACATTGTAACATGGCTTAAAGCTCACAAGAGTCAATTTTGTGTACTATAAGACCTTTAAGATACAACTTTTTAAAAAGGAAAAAGCTTTATTTTGATAAACTACTTTAAATTATGTCATAAACCACCAGAGGACGCTACGGCATATGCACATTTTCAGCCACATTCTAACTATGTGTGCAGTAATATACCATGTTAAAAGCTTGTGAGCTGATGTGAAAAACATATTGCTAAAGGTATAATTAGGTTATTGCTGGCCTAGTCACACAGATGGTCAGAAATAGAAAGAGATAAACGCTGTGCAAGATGATGCTAGACCAAATGCCTAAATGACCAATGCAACAAGACTCAGTTACACAGAACTACAGGTCTGTTTAGTCAAATCCACTTCACCAGAAAAAGTAGCAGCTAACATATTTATAGCCTTCTTGGAGTAGTTATCTGAATTTTTAAAACGTAATAGTAAAAGATGTACTGTGTAACTTTACTGTTGAAGAGATTGTCTCCGTGCAGGTGTTATTGATTTGCCTAGAATGTTCCAGAAAATTACATTAAAGCCTTCTCTTCACCATGGAGACAAACAGGTGTCTCCAGTAAGATCGCATGTTTTTCCAAGGAATTTTTAAGCAATAGAAACATCAGCAATTATATGCAAGACATGTTTAATGTCATATTGCGGTGTATTCCAGGCAGAGCAATAACATGCGGGTAACGAACAAATTAGAAAAGCTACATAGTTCAGGAAACTATTCAACAAGATTACTCTGTGAGTCAAGTATTAATTGTAGTGTTTACATCGAACATACGGCTTCTACACTTTCCACCATGAATATTACCTATGTACCTACAACCCTGTACCACTCCTGTTCAAAACATGTGATATCTGGTGTTGCTTTAGTTTAACAAACCTCCATGTGGTGGCTCACGAGTGTCCCAGATCAGCACGCGACCATCGTCAGAGGAACTGGCAAAAACATTATCATTGACGGGACTGACAGAGAGGCTGTACACTGCATCAATGTGGAGGAATACGTTCAGAGTCTCCCTTCTGAAAAACAATAGATGAAAAGTTACTTGTGCTGGCTTACTTTAAAGTCTGCTTCAGCATTTGCACTGGGACTATGCCAGTGTTTTTTTTTGGGTTGTTGCAATTTTTGGCAACAAAAAACTATATCAACTGTATACTTTAAACCCCCAAAGGACATGTTCAAAAAAGTAGCTTCAGCTGAATGGCATTTCTTTAATTTCTTACCTTTCCACATCATGAAGAATCACTTGTTCATCATTTCCTGTAAAGCAAACATAGAAAGTTGTTATTATCTTAACTTCAAATATTTTAATTACAATTATATGTAATATTTACAATAAGTACTTTTGTATCCTAAGTATTTTGTCTTTACCTCCAGAAAAGACCTTCTTGTTGGTGCTGTCAAAGGCGAGACAGAAGATGTTGGAGAGGTGCTCTCCCTTCAGTTTCACAGGTTTGGAGCGAGAATGGATGGCTTTCTCCATGTGCCAGAGGAGCACTCTCCGGTCATCTCCTCCTGTACATCAGGTCAATTGCAATGTATTACCATTTATTATAAAACTGTGTTTACAGTGTTATAAGAGAGACTAACAGCATTTCAGACTTCAGGTTTTACTATATTTCTGTTGATTACAATTGTCTGGACAAATATTAAACATTTAGTAAGCATAACAGTGTGCATTCTCTGCACAGCTGTGAGTTTGGGTTTAACCCACATTATTTGTTGTTTTAATCATGTGCGTTGCTGCAGAGGGCAGCCATGACAGTGTTGTGAAATGCCCATAGTACTGTTGGAGTGACAGATCAGGCTGGCCCATGGACTGTTGTTTGTGTTGGGCTTAGTTAGCTTATCTAGCTATTAGCCCGCACAGCTAAGCTATTTAGCATGTGCTAGTTTTGATAGGTTTCAGCTGATTGCCACCTAGCCATAGTTAGCATGCTAACAAACTAGTGCAAAGGGGATTTGTCAACTTACCAGAGACCAGCCATTCTCCGCCGTTGTTGGAAAACTCAATGGCGTTGACACAGCCGAAGTGCCCGAGCATATCCTTCTTGTAGAGGCTGGTGCATCCTGCCAGCCGGAGCCGCTGAAATTCCTCCTTCATGAGCGGCTGCCCGGTGAGCTCTCTGCGGGACAGAAAGCCCACGGAGGAGCGCATGCCGCAGCCCCGAAGCTCCTTCATTTTCCACATGCACAAACACGGCCTCTAGGCTTTGTCCTCGCCGCTGCGGCTCATCTGCTCGCCCTGTTCCGTGTGTTCGCCTATAGTGGAGGTGGCAGTGGGCTGACACGGCTCGGTGGGCTACATTCTGGAGGGCAGCCCCGTGTCTCGGTCCTGCCGCTGTGAGTGCGTTGTTTTCGGCTGTGGCTCCTCTGTGTTTGTGGTGAGTCCCGGAGCAGCAGCTTCCTGCTCGGGCTCAGGACCTCTCTCCTCCCCCTGCTGTCACTCAGCATCCACTCATCATCACTGCCACTACTGAACCAATGCACTTTAAGACATGCACACTTACATCATACTTTGACCTCAGGCTGCACAGCCTTTTGAGCAAATGTATGTATGTCAGAGGAGGTTTGTATTTTCATAAAGGCAAAATATTAGTTTGCATTGCCATTAACCTTGCATTGACACTGTGAAAGAGCGTACAAGTGGAATTTGGGGTTAACTTGTAGTAATATTGCAAAGAGAGTGGCCCATATAACTTCCAAAGAGTATAGGCTACATAATTTTTAACACTTTATTAAATGTGAAATGTCAGCCAGTTCCATAGGAGCCTATTAAATGTTAGTTGAACAACAAATGGTACATTCCACCCAATTTATACATCTACATTGTTCAAATAGTTTAAGAGCATGTCATAGGATATAGGCTAAATAGACTGCTGCTTGCGTCTTACTTTTGAATTTACATTTTACATTTCACTGCAGTAATTTAGGCTAAAGTAAATAACTATTAATTAGTCTATTAATATTATTCTTCATTAGACTAGTTATTAATGTGTCCATATTTGACTTGAAAAAAACAAACAATAACCGTAGTGTGTATAGTAGTTTTATTATTCCCAGTTTTATGGGATTACAGTGGTAGTCTTTGGGGAACTTTGAACAAGCCTTTTTGAGACATTGAAAACCAAAACATCTAAAGTACCTCCTACACAGGGACAGATGGTGTACAATAGCAGGCCATAATATTAATCATAATTCACTGTTGTTTTAGCCCCACCTATTATGATATTATGTTGTAATAGGTTATAACTAATATATATTTTTCAGACCAGCACCTTTTTGTTGATAAAGTGATTTGTCAAACTTAAGCAATTTAGGCACTTATTAAGTAATTGGCAAAGAAGTGAAACTGCTGTTTTATGACAATCAGGTATAAGCAAAATACTGAAAATACAAGTAGTTTTACACATAAATAACTCAACATTGAGATAATATCTATAGACAACACATCCACAGCCTAACTAAGCTCATTAAAAGTCTAACTAGCCCAAAGAGAAGTTAGCCTACAAAGCACTAAGGACAGGGCTAATAGTTGTTATGTGCTGTTGTTGAAAGCTACTGGTTCTCAAACTTCAAGTCTGCCTATGAAAATATTTCAAAGTTTCATCTGAAATTCCTCAAAATCATTACAAGACTTTTATTCAGCACCTTCTCTTAATCAGGTCTAAACCAGGACTAAAAAAGGACTGAACCAAGGCATCAGGACTAAGTCTAATTGGACACAAAATCAGGGGTAAGGCAGGGCTAAACTCTGTCTTGTCTAAATTAACTACATTTTAGCTCTGTACCATCAGAAGAAGCCCACAGCACCACAGTTTGAGAACCACTGGTCTAAGTAAGAAATACAGTTAGGTCAGTCTCACTATCAACAAACAAACATTAAAAAGTGCTTTACGATTTGTTTCCTTCAATACATTCACCTCTATTGCAGGAGCATATCCATAATACCACAGAGATTAAAACGAGCTGCAATATATGACCAAACATCTGCAAAAATAAGTGGAGTGTTGAACTATCCATCCTTCTTCTTCTTCTTCTTCTGCTTATCCGGGGCTGGGTTGCTGAGTCTAAGTGGACTCCCAGACAACCCTTCCCTGTTAGACCTGGGGCAATATCATTTATTTTGTGTGTGGCCAATATTATGTCTAAACTCTCTTTAACAGAGCTAGAAAGCTATAGACCTGTTTGCTGGATTGAGAAAGCAAATCCTAAAATATTAACTTGGAGTCTCACACTTATATTAAATAATCTAGCCACAACATTTCACAATGTTAAGTGTATTTATATATTTGTGTCAATCCTAAGACCCCAACTGAGAGACCCCCAAAAGGCAACTGACCAACCAGTGCCACTAATGTGAAATTTAAGGCAGAAATAGTACCCACATCACTTACTGCCTGTGTTTTTAATCTTTTAAAATTAGTAAAACAGCAAATTAATTACTCTGTGGTGAATCATATTCTTAAAAGGCTCTGAATAACAACCCATCTTGAATAAAAGTTTGTGAGGAGAGCTCAGATACAGTCCTGACTAAAGCATTTGTTCTGTGAAGGATGATGGTGAGGTATGAAACTGTAATCTACAGGTTTACCACCAGGTGTCGCCACAATCTATATCGTTCACAATTGAAATGTTCTGTAAACTGCTGCAAAGTCTTTGAGAGAGAAACAGCCATACTATGATCAGTCTATTGCACTTTAAACTTCTTTGATACACGTAGAGGATCAAAGTTATGTTCCTTCTAATAATCATAAACACTGGGTTTTAGCTTTATGAGAGTGGATCAAAACGAGTTTGTGTTTTTTTTTTCTACTTTTTTCCTAGGCAGTTCCAACTTGTTTAGTTGTTTGTGCTGATCAAGTGCTTAAATCAACATGTAACCAAATAATCTTCTGTCTGAGATGGCTGCCAGTTGAAACCGAAGTGTCCATTTTGTTTGATATAGGATTATTTTGTATACAATATTTTTTATAAAACATCAGTAGCCTTCTTTTAAAAAGCAAGATAAAGAAATACTCACTTGGCAGCTTTGCCTTGTGACATTTTTACATAAATACAAAATTAAAAATACACACAAAAGATTAAATAAGACAATAAGACAATTGCACAAAGCAGGAGTTTAAATTAAGACAGGGGAGGTTAGGGAGACGTTGGCACAGGGATGAAGGGTGGTGTCCATAGGGGGTGCTAGTCTCTGCTCCCGATGTTAGTACGGGCCTTTTGAGTGTCCAAAGATCCCGATGGGAAAATGTTTGACGTGAGATGACCACTGCGCTGCCAGCTGGAAAAACTTCACATCGTTCCACTCAACTCCGTCAATCAGCACTGTGGAAAGACACAAGCAGGTAAGACAAGGCAGAACTGTGTTCATCTCAGTATGGAAATTCACATAGCTCTTAATACACAACAAAGTGTGACAGTAATAAAAAGATGTTTGCACCATAAAGATAAGAATTAAGGAATAATAAGATATTCTTTGTCTCACAATGTGGGATTACATTGTTAAAAAAATAAACAAAAAAAATCACATTTAACTCTAATATGAAGCTATATTGGAATAAAACATTTTCTAGCATGTATCTCTATTGATACTTTGAAACTGATGTCATCGAAATTCTCTGGGAGTGTGATCCTAACTGTAGGTTTTGTTTTGTCTGAAGCTGTTACAAAGGAGAGATGATTTATATTGTTAAACAAGTCATCGGCCAATAGTTTTTCAGTTAGTCACTCTCACCTTTTTGTTAAAAATCAAACTCCTAGACAGGATGATGAACACGCACTGCCTTTTTGACTGTGTTTGCTAATATGTGCATTGCGTCACCATGGTAACTTCTAAACATTACACCATACACATGTAGCATGTAGAACACTCCCAGTGCGACGTCATTGCCAAGTATCAATAGGCTTAAAGAATGTTATGTTGTCATCTCTGCAGCTGGTCATTTACCTGTAGTCACTCACAGCCTAAAGCACAGGTAAATTTCTAAGAAAAAGTGGTACCTCGGAGCATGGTCTGCTGCTGTTTGGCCGTGCAAATGAGCCGACTGATGCCCTCGATCACCTGACTCTTGGGCTCCACCTCTTTGTCTTTGCTCTTTTTTGGCAGAAACATCACTGATGGAGAAACATGAAATTCAAATTAATGACTGTAGTTCTCAATATAAAAAAAATATATATAACAAATATTAAAGTCAAAATGCAACTAAAAATAAGTATGTAATACAATTTAAATTAAATATAAGCACAAGGTTAATGTTAATTACATGCAAACAATATGGAATTATGGCATTCATGGGAATGAACGGAAAGAACATCTTTTACAATTTACATTTACAAATATACTGCCATCTCTGAAATATAGTAAGAATAAAAACTGCCATAATTTCCAGGAGCTCACCCTTCTTGTTCTTCTCCTTGGTGACCACTGTCATTGACATAGTGGGAAAGGGACTTGCCTCAGCGCCCCCTAGAGGGAGCCTGCTGACCTGCAGCGAGCGGAAATTGCACTTAAGAGTGTTTTTAGCGGAAGAGTCCCGCTTCTCCACGTCTTTCTTTCGTTCTGATGGAGCCTGCCAATAGTCCACCTGTAGCCCCATCACCTCTGTCTGAGCACTACTGCAAAGAGGAAAATGAAAATTGTATTGTTTAAGTTATTTACTATATACTACTGTTCACCACTAAGATCCAGCCCAACTTTGGACACCTTTAAGAGTTGGCTGCCAAAACCTTAAAGGTGCACTGTGTAATTTTTCTGTTAGAGGGTCCAGCCCCTGCTTGTCTCCACAGGGATGTGATTGTTTTGCCTTTAATTTTCCACAGTATGGTATTAAAGTTGAGTATTTTGCATTTATTCCATTGTGTTATCGCTTAAAATATAATGAAAAACAGGCTTTCTTATGATACCCTCCAGAGCTTCTCCATAGATCTGACCTGTATCTAGTCCTAGTTTCATTTCTGCTTATCTTCATGGACATAGTTGAGTTTAATGCTTCACTGTGGAACATTCCAGACAAAGCAATAACAAGTCCATGAAGGCAAGCAGCTAGTCGACCCTCTGAAAAAGTTACACACTGCACATTTAACATCTTGCGCTCTCTTTCTCTTCATCGACGTGATATACATTCGGAGTTTGCCTAGTTATTAATCAGCCAGAACCAGAATTTCAGGTTGAAGTAATTGGAACAATAACGTAAGAGTCGTTAATTACCTGTAGGCACAGAAGCTGGTGTTGACTGAGGGGGATGAGGGTGGAGTGGGCGTGGCCTCTTTGAGCGCCGGGGAAACCTGAGGAGGAGTGGAGGAGAGCAGCGAGGAGGGCGTGGCATCATCCGAGTCACCTGAGACAGAGTAAAGAATTAAGTAAATCTGTGTCAATAACTGTTTTTTATTTTATTCTAACAATTAACCAAACTCTGTACGCATATTAGAGGTGAGTTAATATATTTGACTGAAGATAAAATATATGTGGATGGGTGCAAAATGTAACTCAAAATATAACTTAACCTAAAACTTACCTGATGCTGCTGATGCCTGCTCCACAATACCGACTTTCACCATCTGAAAAATTCAAACAAAAATTGCTTGTGTGTTCAAGGTTTCCACATTTAACAGCCTTTAATTACAGTATGTTTA